TACCCAAAGCCCCTAAAAATGTAAAAAAGTGTCGTAAAACCTATAAAAAATTTTTTTCTCCTTGTGTAACCATATCGGAATTTTTACCCAATTTGGGACGGTCTCCCCTGGAGCTCTAGTACCGTTGTGAGACCGGAAACGTGACCTGACCGCAGGCACGTGCCCACGTGATCCGGGAGTTCCAGATTTAGGTTTACCGGGGGAATTCCTGGGATTTCCGGATTCTTTGTTAATCCCGGGGATTCGGAACAGTCAAGGTATCAACCGGTTATCTAGCAGACTCTAATAATAATAACAATAAGTACAATTCGGGTCCTATTGATAACTTTAGATATTTAGATGATTTTTGAAATTTAGATAATTCTGCAAATGTAAATAGACAAATTCATAAAGGCCTTCTGGCCCTTCGAAGAGGGAGTTAGTTCCCGTTTTGCCTAAATAATAAAGTACCTAAGTAATATAAACATGCCCTACAAACTACCTACATTCGTTTATTAACCACTCGACCAAATCTAACACGTCTCTTTCGCGGTTTGTCCCCACGATTCTGTCGGTCGGTGACCCGATTGCTGCGAAGCATTGACCGACCGATTTCAGTCCTCTCATTATAATTACGACAAATTACGTCACTGCGCTCACACCATTAGGTCACTCCAGGTTGCTCCGAATTTATAGACATTCCGACTTGAATTGAGAATGCCACTTCAATAACCATAGTAACGCCTAAATTCCATATACATAATATACATGATGCGATCGGCGTGAGAAATATGTAGGTGAATATACATATATCTGTAGAAGTCTTTTTTTTTTTCTTGGAAACGACATCTAGTTTTCAGCGGTAAATTTCAGTAAGTTTTACAGCAGCGCCAAAAGTCAATGAACGTAAATTTAGCGACAAATGTCAATGATATGCCCATGATAAGTGCTTAAATTATTTCTTGTCATCAAAAAGACTATACGATTAAAATAGAAACAAAATTTTTTATAAATTTATGAAATATTCTTTATTTACAACTCGTGAGTTTTTTTTTTTCCACAAAACTATATTTTACACTATCCAAAATAATGAAATCTCTGGACGTAAGATATCGAAAATGGAATTAAACGCGAAAGGTAATAAAATGAATAATTTTTTTCTAAATATTGAATACAAAATTAAAATAATCTAATTCAACAATAATTTGAGAATTTTTTTTTTTTTTTTTTGAAAATTGTTACATATTAAATGCACTAAAGATCATTTTGTACTGACTTTTAAAACAGATGATGGCCTTCTTTGTTTTGATAAACCATCAATCCTACTTTGTGCTAAAGAATATCCACTAGCGGCAGCTAGTTTATAATACATCATAGCTCGAGATACATTCTTTGTCACACCATTTCCATTTTGATAACATTTACCAAGGAAATACTGACCTATTGGATCACCATTTTCTGCTGATTTCTGATAAAGAGCGAAGGCAACTTGTTTATCTTGAACAGTACCAATTGAATTCTCGTAAAAGTAACCTATGATTGGTCCAAATTGTGGATTATTTTTATGTTGATTCAAAGTTTTAAGGGTTGACTTGTGTTCTCTCGATCGATTGTGTAAATATTCCTTGATATTAGAGATCATCGCAACAGAATCACCGCTTAATTCTAATATGTCTGCAAAAAATTTTAATAATTCCTTGAGGAATATCGAATCAGTATTTTCTATTATTTTCTTGTTATTTCCATTCGGACTTGGAGAAGTTGGTGTTGTTGGAGTTGATAAACTCTCGTGAAATGAATTACTTCTTGAATGGGATGGTCTTTTTCCATTAAAAGCCGAATTACTTAGTTCAGTGTTTATTGCTCCAAGCTTTTTAAATTTTCCAGAATTTGAAACTTGATTTTCGGTAATATTCGTAGGTGATGTACTTTTGCCTTCGGAAGATGAAGATGATCTTCGAAATCTAGGTTTCATATTATTTGAAATACTATCATTACTGCTTTTCTTTTTAACAGGTATTTCAATATTTTGAAGTTTTTCCAGTACATCGTGAATAGTGGGACGCTTCTTAGGATCATCATGCCAACATTGTCGATAAATTTCAACATAAGATTTTGGAGTTCCTTTAATTGGCTCTTCTCGTTCACCGTTTGATATCCGAGTGGCCATTTGTAATTGAGCCAATGATGAAGAGGATGATGATGATAAGAACGGAGGTCTACCACTTGAAATTTCCCAAAGCAATATTCCAATACTATAAACGTCCGATTTAGAAGTTCGTTTATACTGCACGTTCTTTAGACTTTGAGGTTCAATATACACTAAATCACCTTTAACGTCGGAAATACGTCTATTAATTTGCGAGAAATTCTTGGATAAACCAAACTCTGATATTTTTATCGTGCCATTCTTCAATAATATATTGCTTGAATTCTGAAAGTTAAAGAATTAGACATGATAATAGAAAATAAAATTGAAAAAAATTTATTTGAGATTAGAATATAAATTACCAAATTTCCGAGGATTATATCATTATCATGCAAACAAACTATACCACTCGCTATCTGCCTAGCAAGATTCAATTTATTATTCCATGATAATGAAGAAAATTTTTTTTGAAGATGCCGACGAAGTGTTCCACCATCCGCATGTTCAAATATTAACATGTGTTTTTTAGAACACACATCTATCCAAAGAATTATTAATAAATTAACTAATGCATTAAAAAAGAAATTTATCATATAGATAAATTAGGGCGTTCTCCACAATGAATTCGATAAAGAATCTGATTGGTTAGTTTATTAAACAGACCAATAAGGTTCTTTGTTTAAGTCCTTTGTGGGAGGTGCCGAGAATGCCCTAATCTTACTATGACGAAAAGAATACCTTGAGTAATTCCATAAAATTTCAAAATATTGGGATGATAATCAACTTTTTTATATAATTCCAACTAGAAGAAAATAAAATAACATAAAATAAAAATATAAAAATCGTATTATAATTAATTCAACTGTATCATTCAAAGTTGAGCGACATCCATTTTAACACTTTAAAAAAGGTTAATTAAGAAACGAACTACTGGGCTATTACCTCACTAATAAATTTATCTATAACAGATTTATCATCAGTATCAAGATTTCCCTTCCATTTTTTTAACATAACAATCATTCCATGAGATTTCCAATCAGCACAAAAACTTTCACCGGAAGGTCCTGAACCAATAATAGGACCAATTTCTGAAAATTTATCATAATCATGAAAATCTACATGACATTGTTCGAAAATTTTTTCAACCGAATTTGATGTCGAAACGACGTTTTCTTTCATTTTTTGATAAAAAAAAAAATTCGTTCAAGAAAACAGAAAGTGTTGAAAAGAAACGAGTTTTATTTGAAGACTGGGTAAAGATCAACATAAATATACATAAAAAGTTTGTGGCGCATAGCATAACACGGAAAACCGAAAAAGTGTTAGCGTGTGCCACTTTCGAATCTCGTCCATTTTAAAGTCACAATAGGTGCTGTCATTTGATTATCAAATAATGCACCTTTAACATTAAATTTGCTTCATATGAAAATTCTAAGACAAGAAATGGAAACTCGTTCAGCAATCTTTCTAACTTGGCATAAGCTTCTAAATCGCGTGCCTAACACGCCCATTATACCATTGATTTACCCCTCATTAGGACAACCTATGAGAAACTGATGCATTGATAAGAAATTAACGAAAATTGACCAATTATAACATTCTTTGGAAGGAGGGTCGATTTTTTTTTGATTAACCCTAATGACGTGATTTCGTTTACGTACTTGCACGTACGTCATACGTACGTCGTACGTAAATTAAATAGTCGGCAATCTTTTGTTGTGCATATTTGCTAATACTTTTCCTTAAAAATTATTCTTAATTATTTGAAACGGATGTAACAGTACCGGTACGTATTTTTAACTTTAATACAAGAGAGAAAATCATTGCTTGATTTAGAGCCAAACGTCGAACTGCTTAGCATAACAACTTAGTGTATTTATAGTGAATTTTTCTTTGTTTCTAAGCCAGAAGTCATTGTTAATTTGAGTGTTTGATTATTGTTTCACTAAAAGAAAACAAACCGTTTCGGGTTTCATCGGTTAATTTATTAACGTTAATATCAAATGAGGAATTGGTACATTGATGTACTCAACACAAAAAACATGTGCTACTGGAGTAGTCATACGCTCAAAGCTGCTCAACTTTGCAAGTTAGACAATGGTGCTATGGACATCCAATATATCTAATTTGCTTTTCTTCATTTTATCGCACGGATATGGTATATCTCTTTGGTACCCTATTTCTTGCAATTTCCTGATAGAAGTCAATCCATTTCCAAACATAAGCTATAATACTATTTAATATCTATATTCAAATGTATTTAATTTACCAACCAGAATATTAAATTACCCAAGTAAGTTAGTGTACATTTCGAGCAGCCCCACATACGTAATTATATATCGTCGAAAAATAAACCATTTACGGTTTAGTAATGTAACCCATATTTATCACGAGACAAATATGATTGATGGTCCGTGGGAACAATTAAAAATTATTTTTATTATGTAATAAACTTTATATTTGCATAGAGATATGTCATCCGCTTCGCTCTTGACTAATTAATTTGCTGCATTACAAAATTTTTTAATTAAAATCATCATAAGAGCGTCCAGAATATTTGTCACATTTGTATTATGCGATTTAAAGTTAAAGACTACGTTATACATAACTTATTATTATGCATGTGTCTATTTTTTTTCCATAAATATTTTTTTATATCAAATTTTACACTTTATTTGCTAATAATACACGTTCTATGCTATAAATAAATTACATCTATTTTTAAAAATAGATTGGCTTTTTATAACTAGAGATTAGAAAGATGGAATAAGGCTATGGTTATTCGGGTTTGGGGACTTGAGACCAGTCCAGACTGGCTTAAAAAAGCCAATTAAATTTATTGAAAAAAATACGTTACGACGTAATTCTTATTTCTATTAGAATGTCATACATTTATTTGCCAATAAAATGAAATCACTAAGAAACATTTCGGGACTGAGACTGGACCAAAAAACACTAATAGACCAATCTTATTAAACACTGACTGGACCGATTAATCTCTATTTATAACGGAAATAGTTCTTACAGTCCGTCGTGGTTTTATCTTGGTCCAAAAGACCAAGTCCAGGTAGAAAATCGTGGACCAGACCAAGGCTCATAAACTACATCAGTCCTAATTCAGTCTGGTCGAGAACCAGCCTATTTTCAACTAATAGGAAACAAAATCTAGCCTTTAGCTCTATAAATTCAACTAATACAATTTACAAAAAATTGTTTCTTATGAAAAATGTCCGATCCCTACCCAAGTTGTTCGTCAAAAACATAAACTAGGAATAACATCGCAAATCTTTTTATGACTTAAATTTTTTCAGCTAATAGGGTCACCATATCCAAGTGTTGTTCCTGAACATGGACATGGACTGTCTATGTCCACATGTCCATGGGCAGACGTCAGGAACAACACTGACCATATCTACTAAAAATTCTGTCTTCAAACTTTTTAACTATAATTAGGATTCAATTTCGGATGTTTTACTAATTATTACAAAAATTGTGCAAATATTATCGGATAGTCCGGTATAAGAATTTTCTTAATACAATGAAACTTCTCCTTCTCTAAAGAGACTAAACTTTTAACAACCATTTAGAAAACAATAAAATGTACATTTATAAAGGTAAGGCGCTGTGTGGACCAGAATTTGAGTGTGCATTAGAAAGATTGTACATTTAGGGTGGGTGCACTTAAAGAAGTTTTTCTGTTTAAAAGTTGTTTTCCAGAAATTTTATAAATTTCACAATTAGAGAAGGTCATTTTGACTGTAAATGCTATTGCTGTATTGCTGTATTGCATATATTTAAGTACAGATGTACGTACGTATAAATCAGATTTATAGAATTACGTAATCACATATTTATATCAGATATTTAGTATTTCTTACGTACTGTACGTACTTGAACCGGTTCAAAAGACTGGTTCAGACCGTGGTCTGTAACATCTCGGAATACGTATAATAAATTTGTTGACTGTGTAATTTAATTGGTGCTGGGGATTTCTAAATATGAATTGAAATATTGCCGTTCTTGTATCGGTATGTCTTAAAGATGAGTACAATGAAATCTTTACTATATCAATATAATATGATATGAATTATTATTGTATAATAAGATTAAAAAGTTTGATATAAAAAAAAGCTTATGCAGATTACAGTATGGGGTATATTTAATAATCATGTTTGAAGTACGCACGCACGTACGTACGTACGTACATCAATTTGTCATTAGCACGAGCGACCGGTGCGTGCAAATTTAAATAATAAATCTTAGCGCTAGTATGTACTGTACGTACAGTACGAACGAATAAATAGGAATTTTACATGCTTGAACAGAGAAAAGTTTCTTCCTGTGGGGATGAAGATGCTCTTTGTTTAAATACCAAATGACTATACTGCCCCATACCAACCATAAAAGCTGTTCCAACCATAACGACTACTTACTTACTACCAACTATAGCGGCCATATTGGTCTTTCTTTCGTTACCGTCAGTACTCAAAAATAAGAACCGGCAATATAACCTAGAGCTCGTCGACCTTTGGCCCACATTAACGTAATTTAGACCGGTGATCTTCAAATTTTTGCTCCCTCCCGTGATTTTTGACCAATAAATTTCAAGATCAGGTGTAACCAGTGTTGGGCGTCCAGTAAAATCGAACTGGAACTGGACTCATAAATGGTCCACTGGACCTACTTTACAGAAACCTTGATTTTTTAAAAATACTGTATAAACAGCATATATCTAACATATAATAAAAGTCTTAGTAAGCTCTGTTAACTCTCTTGTAAGAAACTTATTAATA